TTTTTTGTTTCATCTTTACCGCCCCTTTTTCAACAGTATGGTACTCCGTAGCAGTTTTTTTCCATACTAAGGATTAAACATGCTTAGAATGGGGCAGCAGGAGATTTTGAGCCCGAACAGTTCCGGAAGATGTTCATTGGCGGTCTTACAAGTTCAACGACCGATGAAGCGTTGAAAGACTACTATTCTCAATGGGGTGAGATTGTCGACTGCGTTGTAATGCGCGACCCCGCAACCAAGCGTTCAAGAGGATTTGGATTCGTCAGTTATTCAAAGCAATCCGAAGTTTGTTTTCTTCTTTTTTTTAAATCAGATTGATGGAAATCGTCTATCGTTTTTCATTTGAGGATGACTTCCACGCCCTAAAATTACTGGAGTTTTGCTGTTTTAGGTGGATGCCGCCATGGCTAATCGTCCGCATATTATTGACGGAAAAACGGTCGATCCTAAACGTGCTGTTCCGAGGGATCAATCTCAAAAATCGGAAGCAAATATGTCGTCGAAACGACTCTATGTTTCTGGAGTTAGGGAAGAACACACAGAAGATATGTTCAAGGACCATTTCAGTAAATATGGCAATGTTCTTAAGGTATTTTTTATGTTTTTGAGGAATTATACGTCTCTTTAGCACAATTGTGCAATTTAAACGTCCTAAACTTTATTTTTTGGTTTTAGGTAGAAATTATTGCTGATAAAAGCACTGGGAAACCTCGCGGCTTTGCCTTTATTAGCTTTGATGACTACGATGCTGTTGATAAGTGCGTTCTCATAAAGAGCCACATGGTCCACAATTATAGGTGTGATGTTAAGAAAGCCTTGAGTAAGGAGGAAATGGCAAAGGTGCGTTTTTTTTTTTCCAATTATAGGGTTTTAAAATTCCTAATACATTCATATATTGAAGGATCTAGGGAGACTGTCGCAACTTTTTTGCATAAATAGCAACCTAAGAATCGTTTTTTTAGATACAACAGCAGGAACGGGAAAGGATGGACCGAGGTGCGAGATCTCGAGGACCGCCCCCTGTAGGCAGGGGTAGTGGCTGGGGCCCGGGACGTGGCGGGTTTGGAGGAAACGGCAATTGGGGTGGCAGTGGTCCAGGAGG